GGAAAGAGGTCTGCCTCTCCTACCATAAGCAAAGTTACAGGGTTGGTACACCTACTACATTGCCCTACGAAACTTCCCTCTACATTATACACTACACCATTTATAGGAAACTCAGTTTCTGACACAAGATTTTTCAAGAGTTACAAATATCTATAATTGTACCTAACACAGCCTTCATAAAGAGTCAAAATATACTCAACATACTGAGAGCATCATCTGATCTCATCTTTGAAACACAAACACCCTGAGTCATTTTAGAGTAAGTGCAGTGTTTGCTTCATTAACTAAGTTGCTGAGGGGAAAAATAATATTGAAGGTTAAAAAGACTAATATAAAAACGGTACCACCCTTTGCACACATTCACATTACCATCATTGTGGGAAATCTCACAAGCACCTACCGTTGAAGGTCTTCATAAGACAGAGGAAGGTTAAGATTTGACAGCACGCTTACCTGAGTCTTGTCTACATTACTGCTACAAATTTAACATAGACTATACTGATGTTATACCAGAAATTTTTCCAAAAGTAATTAAAGTCCCACATTGTGGAGACAAGGGCCTCAGAGCTGCGAAAGATACCCCTGTCTACATAAAGCAGGTAAGTATTACTGACTTCTGACTATAGCTACCTCTCATGAAAGAACGACTGACACTATAAAACTATGAAGGTCACCTCAGTGTCCGCTGGCTTTTCAGTAAGTTCTGAAGACCTATGAGCCCCTCTTTCCTTTCAGACCAGTTGGAGCTGGCACAGTGGTTCAAGACCTCGGCCACATCTTCAGTCTGCCGCAGGTAGTGTGGAATGCCCCCATTCCTGGAACCATAGGAGCGCTCTGAGCAAGCGCTGGACGCATCACTGTTAGCATCGTCATCGGAGTACATCCCATAGGGTTCATATCTTCTTCTCACTGGCTTTTTCTGGAAAAGGGAAAACTCAGACTTAGTAATATACACCAATGCCAAAAGAAAAACATTTTATCTGTAATCATTAAAAGGAAGACTAACGCTATTGTTATAGTGACACAGGTGTTTTAAAGATGTCACCAAGCACTGCCTGCTTACCTCTTGCAGTAGAGCAAGACAGATCCCATTGATTTCAATGAGACTATTCAAGTCACTAAGGGGAGCAGGCCCTGCCTTCCCCAGCATGAAAGCGAGATACATATGCCCAGTGGAATTAGTACCGTTAATGAAATAATATGTTGTTTTATTGTCAGTAACGGTCAGCTCCATTGTTACAGACTATGATGATACAACCTCTGCTTCAAGAAAAAAAAAAAGGCAGAAAGAACTGAAGGAATCTGTACTGGCATGCACAGTCACTTTCCTACTGATAATGAAGTGACTCTAGAAATGCACTGGACATAGGAAATGACAATTTCTGTCAGTTTGGGCTAGGATTTTTCCACAGGCTGCTAAGGGAATCCGAGTATTCAACTCATTTCCATAGCATGGCATTAGAGGACCTGATTTCCTAAGGTCAATCTTTACAGAAGGGAAATTAGAATTATTATGGTAGCAAGACAAATTGTATGCTATACCACAAAACAAAGTCTTAAATGAGCCTTAACAGAACAGGATTGATAAGACAAGGTGTCAGAAGAAGATCGCCTATTTTGTAAAATGTTTGCTACAGAATTCCTTTCAGTGTGCAGTCCTGCAGTTCTTGGACTTGGGAAGCAAACAGAGTTTTGCTTCCACTAGGACTGCAGGATTGAAGCGCAGAAATTAACTCAAGTGCAGTATCATGGGCATCAGCAACAGGGCGGGTGGGGAAAGTCAGAAAGTAGAAATAAAAAGTCAAGAAAGCACTAGTACCTTGCTCCTGGAGTCTCCTAACAGCTGTAGGCAGGAAAATATTGAAGGGTGGGAAAAAGCATAGAGAATTATGTCAGAAGCTTATGTAGGGTTTGTTTTTGCAACAAAAATGTATAGCAAATGTGTCTTAGCAAATTAAAAAAAAAGAACACAGTTTATGCAAAATAAAAGTGGGTATAATAATGCCTATCTCCTAACTGCTGCACTACTCATATAGCAATGAGTATATACAATTTGTATTAGGGAGCCTGGAAATGAGATTATCTGTTAATAAGTTTTTTTTATGACAGATCTATATACAGCACCTCTTCGCTTACTTTTCGGAAATGCTCTTCTGGAAGACACCAAGAGGTTTTGGCAATGACTTATTTCCCCACACATTATTAGTAGCATTTGATTTTAGAGTCTTGGAAATAAATTCTGATGTCAGGAAACCACTACCTACAGTACAGCACATTTAATCAACTTCACTTAACCAAGTTCTCTTCCAACCCGTAATTCTTATACTACTTTTGGTTTTTTTTAGCTTCTTTTAAGACCCCCTGGCTGGCACCCCTGACTTAAAGGCTGTACTTAATACCAAAGTTCCCGTCACCCTTTGAGCTCTTCTGACAGATCCAGGCACTGATTCCCAGTATAGACACTGTGGATTTAGGCCAAGTCCAGCTCTCAAACAGAACCAGTGGATCCAACACAAATTGTACACAGGGAGTAGAGGTCACAAAATGACCCACCGTGTTTTGTTTAAACTGAGTATTTGACTGAAGCCATCTTTGAAGAAGTTCTATTCATTTCCTACTACAGGAAAAAAATACTCCTCTGAAAACAAGGCTGCTGAGTGAAAGCTGGCATCACATTACTCTCTTAAAAGGAGCCTGAACAGAGTTTGTACATTGCTTGTTGTGAGAAGACAATCAAGAAGAAGAGCAAATCGGGGTGCTAGGAAAGAAGGGGACAAAAAGATCGCGTTGCATCCCCTGAAGTCATACAAATTCAGATGATCAACCAAGGCAGCTGCACCACTTAGTTCCAGCTACACTTAAGCATTTCCCCTTTTAAGCGTTCAACCCTTTAACTAAGATTTTAATGTTCCTGTATAATGTTATTGACTTTAAAAGAAGGGAATACTTAAAAGGAAACTAAGTCTAGGTGATGATCAAGTCACACCCGAAGAGATCTCAATGATCAGCCGTGAACTGAAACACCATGACTGCCTCCTCCCTCAAGAAACCTGTATATTGCAACAGCTCACATTCAGGGATACAGCCCGATTTCATTTACACAGGCAATCCATCACTATCCCCTGAAATGCTCCGGTGGCAAGTTTCAGGTGTTCAGAGCAGGAACTGGCTCACAAGCTCTTGCATTTGGTAATGAAAACGCCTACTAATGATTCAGCCCACTAAATGCAGCAGTGCCATCTATTATATACTGTCCCACCTTTATATTATTCACTAATACTTTTTTTTAATGGAAAGGTAGGTTTTGAAAAAAACTACATTTCTCTAGGAGTACTCTAATAATGATCTAGAAATGGAGGTGACACAAGCTGGGTGATAACACAATACAAAAAGGAAAATATTAGCCATATTTAGGGAAAGTGAACAAGGAAATGGAGAAAGGACATCTACACAAACTCTGGGGACATGGTTCATTCTCCATAAAGACAGATCAGAGATATCTGTCTCACGATACATCAGGACATCCTCCCCTCAGCTCAAGTCTACAGCTGGAGAATACCCAAGGTACACCGGTACCTACCTAATGCTGTACAATAATTGCTCCTGCCTCTACACATCCTCTCTCCCCCAAATACTCAAGGTCAATAAAAAGGCTTATCTTAACACTTGCCTTCTGAGGAGCAGAAAACACCTTCTGGGTTCTAGCCAAGAGATATTGTAGTACAGTAAGATTATACAGGATAATAATTTTTTTAAAAACAACGATAAATTTACTTGGAAATGCACTGAATGTTTGAAAGTACTAGCAGCAAACTAGACAAATACACTTCAATTTAACTGCATGAGATGGTACTGATTACAGGCAATCCAAGGTATGAGCTGATCCAAGCATCTAGCCAGGTGTGAATAACGCAGAGCAGGAACTTGTGAAATTCTCAGTTCTTGTCGAAACCTGACCTGTAATCGACACTAACAGAGAGCACTGTGTTTTTCTGACAAAGTCTTCATGCAGATATTGGGAATGATGCAAAACCCTAACCCCATGGGTGCCGAGCACCCCCACAGTGCCGCATCCATCCTCTGACAGCAAAGTGGAAGACAAACAGCTGATTCAACCCATCCTGCAGCTCTAACCCCAAGCCACAGCAGCCTCTGTTTCATAACAACTGTGGAGAACTGACATGGAATAAGGAAACAAATACTGCTGCGGATATACCCAAAGACAAAACAGTACAAGATGACTAACTCCACAGCATCAGACACTGCCACAATCAGAACAAAGCTATTTAGAAAGAGAACGTACGTACAGGTAACTTTAAGCCACTTTCCGGTGTCGGAAGCATTTTGTATTTTCCCTCTTACCAGTGCATCAGCCACAGCAGCTTCCAGATCTGTGCTTGTGCTCAGGACTCGCATGGCATTCACAGAAGCAGGCATCCTGCCTGGCTGTCCAAGTCCAAACCGGTCTGCACAAAAGACAACATTGAAAGGGATTGTTAAATGAATTCACATTCACTTGGAATCCTAATCAGGTGCCCAAGCAGCTCTCCCCACAGGCTCTGGGAACTCACAGTGGTTTTCCATTAAACCCTCTTTCATCCACAGCTCTAGAGAGTTTGTCATTAGAGTAAGAAATAAACTATTGTTTCTTGGGTCTCAGAGATAATTTTGGATCCTCAGGGTTTGTTTTTTTTTTTTTTTAAGCTGGGAAGCAGGGTATATATTTTGCATTTCTTTTTAAACAGAAGTTGTTTCAAAGTTTTATTTTAATGTCAAAGGCAAACATGCCAGTTTTAATGTGGCACTCTCAACCAAGAGAAGGTTTCTCATTAACTTCAGAGAGACAGAATCATGCTCAGTGTCAGAACATGTTAATACCTGAGCATTCATCCATCCTACAGCTCCTTCTCAGGCAAGGATGCAAGAACAGCAGCACCACATCAGCCTACTCTATGTCTCAAGGCTTGATTAACCAGTAGAATATCCCCCTATGCCCTACAGTATAACAACAAGATTTATTTGCTTGTGAAGTGACTCCAATTTTTGTTTTATTACTGCTCTTGAGAGGCAGTTTAAATGTACACTGGACTGAAATACCATTTAAAAGCTCAATGGTATCAAAACTGATATTTTTGATCAAACAGTATCATCCTCCCCTTGAATTTGGGCATCCAAATTAACAGTGGTATCCAAAATAACAGGATTAAGTCCAAAATGCCATTTATGCTCGTAATACTGATTAGCTTACTTTAGCATTTGCCTAGTCTGCTAAAAAAGTTACTGAAATTAGTTTCTTTGGGCAGAAGCCAAATTCAGAAAGGTATGCTAGGAGGGATACAACAGAATCAGTGACTTGAGTATCACAGACCAGGCTCTGGCAACACAGTCCTTCTAGACAGGGGCAGATTAGATACCGTATTACTGGGATCCTGGCTCTGTCCTATAAGCAGAAAGAGATTGGTGTTGGCATTTCAAGTTTTTATTTCCATGTGGGCTTGTCTTTGCTCAAGAAGGACTGAGAACACCCTTCCTGGGACACACTTTACACCTCTGTCCCCTGCACCCACATATGACAGTAAGTTTTGCCAGCAAATCCAGTGGTGCACAAATCAAGCTGCATGAACCCATTCAATAGACCTTCAGTTGATCCACATTAGAGGCAGCAGGAGAGCAGCCAGAGAGGGATCGAGTCACACAGGTCTTTTATTAGTTCATCTTTGTTTAATTTAACAAAAGAAAAATACTATTTATCAAAATGTGTAACTATATCATGGATTCCCACAAAACTGAGGTCAAACATAATATTCAGCAGCTTGCTGTGTTTTTGGGGAAAAGCACTGCACATCACAAAACTTTATTGCTTTCTTCTTTAAAAACCTACTGCACTGAAATATCTTTTAAGGAAGCAGCTCACACTGACATGTAATTTAAATCAGAGACTGATGTTGGCCAGTCTACTGTCCTAATTCCAAAGCTTTACCCAAGTGTGTCAGATTAAGCTACTGCAGGGAAACAGCAGATTCTTTTAAAATCTGAAGTGTTTTTGGGGAAAAAACAACCCTGAAGACTAGTATTTATTTCGAGTAGAAGCATTATCTATTCAAATTTACTGTTTCTCAGAGTTATGTACCCGGACAAGACATTTCTGATTTACAACAAAAGCACATTTTCTACAAAACACATTACAAGGGAAAAAAATAAACAAACTTTTTAGAACTACTGCCAAAAAGTAATCAAATCATGACATTTCACACAAAAAAAAAAAAAGTTGTATGTGTTATTACTATCCCCTTTTTTAATGCACTTGTGTTGAAGAATCATTTCAAATATTTAGGTGAAACAGTACTTAATTTCTAAAATGGAAAGATCTGTACATTCTTAATAGAAACACAGAGAAGATGATAATGCATTAGGGTCTGATTGAAACTAAAGTCACTAGTACAAACATAAACACTACAAAGATGTACAGAAGACAAGTATTTTCCTAAGTGTAAATGATATCTGGTACACTGCAAGGGCTGTAAATGTTTAAAGTTCTGGACTCAGTTTTATATTTAAACCCAACTCACGGATGTTATCAAGTGTTACTGAGATCAGAATTTGGTTTTAACTTTTGAAATAACATCAGAAAATAAGTTGCCATTTGTTTTCACATTAATTTAGTATTACATTAGAAAAGGGAAGATAGTTTCTTTTTTTTTAAATGAAAAACAGAATGACAAAGTAATTCAGTTGTAGATCAGTTTAAATACCCAGCATAAAGAAACAAAATGAAGCTTTTTTTAAGAAATTAAGTACAGTGTTGCATGCTGGCTTTTATCTGTCTCCATGGCTCTCAGGAATTTTCTGAAATACTGCTTTAGTATCTTTAAAATTCTTTAAATTCATAACACCCAAGTCACTCTGGGCTTCTCCCAAACACACTGTTGCCATACCTGAGTGCAAAAGTTAGACTTTAAGAGAGACCTCGGCATCTCTGACGTGGCGCTGGGAACACATCTGGCTCCAGGAATAACCAGTACAGGCAAGACCAACGTTACTGGGCAAGAAATAAGCAGAGTATGCTCCAGCCACGTTCCCTTGTCTCCCTGGCTAGATTCATTATACCTGTTACAAACTTGGTGAAAACTCCCAGCCACCATTTTTGGCCTGATTTTGCCATTTTTAAGGAAATTTTGGCCTTCTTTAGGACACAGGAAACCATATACAATTTGATTATGCTTTGTACCAAACTATTAGAGCCAAGCATGAAGTGACTATCACAAGAAGTTGAATGTAAACAAAGCTTAATCTGTATTACAATTGAGGGGGTTTTTAAAAAAATATTTTCAACTATTTTTGTTAAATAAAAGTTCGTGTTGTTACTTTGAAAAATGCCACAGGGTCAAATCATCTTGCATCATTTCTGCCAAGTAACCTGACAAGGGAAATGTTTTGAGAGTTTTAGGTAAGTGACAGCCATTTAACTAGACTTAAGAGAGTATTTTTCACTCCCTACATTTAGTGGGGTAATTAAATCATTAATTCCTTATGCAATTCTAGCCTCCAAGCAAATACTGAAGCCCTCATTCATCTTTGACATCATCTTTGTCTCCACAACTAAGTTTCTATTGACCCAAAGCTAGCAGCCCTCATTCATCTCTTTTTAAGACTCCCAGTGAAATATCCCAATTCCAAAGGGAGTTACAGGTTCTCCACAACTGCAAATACAGCACAGGGGTGGGGAAGAAGCCACTGGAATCTGCAGATTTTTCTCATTGTATCTAAGCATTAATCTCCTGATGCAAAGCCCAGCAAAATTAAGGGAATCTTTTTTTCAGCAACTTCTATATACTTTGGACAAGGCCTTCAGAATTGTAAGAAGGATGGATCAGCGTATTATCCTACAAAGCTCATTTTGAAAGCTCATCAGGTGCTTAATTCTTGCTGCTCTTGTGTATTTTGGAGAGGATCCCGCAAAGCACTTTCATTAACAGAGACAGGACTCCAGAACATTTAGTAATAAATGGGATGAAACCCACTGGGATCCGGTTGTAGGCATTGGAACTGCTATACTGATAAAGAGGAAATATAAACAGAAGTTGCAAGTACTCCGCATCAGTCAGGATTTAGCCCGTGCTGCACAACTGATCCAATTCACAGGAGAATTGAGAAAGCCCTGGATCACCCTTTGTTTAAATGCTACTCACAATGTTCCTAAAATACATAAAATTAAAAACATCCAATAAATGATATTAAAACCAAAAATGCACATTGAACAAAACAGAACAGAAAGCCCCACAGCAGTGAGAAGCACATGCCAAGTGCTGACTGATGCACATGACGGCAAATGTTAAGATGGTATAAAACAAGACTACGTATAAGAAGCGGATTCATGCAGTTAGCGCTTGTTCACCTGACTGCCCAACAGAATCAGCAGTGGAGAGAGCACTAGTGGACCTGGAATGACGTCGAGAAGCTGCAAGTAGAAGGAATGGCAACACCCACAGGATTAACATACATTTAACCTGAGACAGAAAATGCCACAATCCAAAGGGGATGCGCGTGACCGCTACCAGTAAAAGGTGTTTCATAGTGACAAGGAAATGACGCTGTGTATGAATGCGTAACAGATACAGTGCAAGCCCCACAGCGATGCCTCCATCTGTAGCTTCCCCCCATGACCATAAACACGATGGACGACAAAAGTAATTTGTAACAGTCCCAAACCCGGTGCAGTTCAGCAAAAACACCCAGTGCACAGTCTCCTTCCAGACCCACAGATCTGGAAGACAGCGATCACGAGAACGTGGAGCACATAACTACAGAGCAGGATTTAGATGTGTCTGATCTAAACCCCAAAGTGAAGCCATGACGAATGGTTAGGAATTGTGCTTGCAGGTATTTTTCCACAACATTCTAGCCTACGTATAAAAAAAAAAGTTAACACAATGAGTAACCACAGAAGTAGAAAGAGTCATACAGGGAGGTCAGCCAACCACCGTATATAGGTCTTTGGGTTGGGTTTTTTTTCCAGGGAAACACACGTACACACATATTATAGCTGTTGCTACTACTAAAAGTCTCTTGCTTTTAACAAATTTTGCATACATGTTTCTTGAAGCTATGTATGTACATGCACAGATAATCTGAATATGCACATCATACACCTATCTAGAATTACACCACATGTATACAAATTGTTAAGAGCAACAGTGCACACACAGTAGCAGAAGAGCTGAAGCCAAATATAGCTCCCACTTCAATTCCCAGTTGTCAGCAGCACATGTATCACAAAATGCCTTTGGAGAGGCTTGCAGTTCTTGGATTCAACATAAAGGTGAGTTCTTCATGAAAGCATATGGAAAGCTGGTCCAATCATTTCCAAACTACAGAAATTTAGTTTTAAAGCGGTTTTCCCTATGTCTAGCAATGACATGCTCACCTAGCTCAAAGCAACTGACCCAAGAAACTGATTGCTCAGACTCACTGAAGGCCTTGTTGCTTTAACATTACTAGTACTGTCGAGAAACTGAAAAAATAAAGCAGAATCACCTTCCAATACAAATAGGCTTTGTCAATTATGCATATTCATGTGCAGTAGAAAAATTGTAAGTCTTCTGCTTAAGGAAAAGCATTCACAAACACAAATAATAACACTATAAAATAGAAATCAGCAAAGTGAGAAAAATAAAATGTAACAAGTTAAAAATTTTTTCCCAGCTGTGAGAGCTTGACTAAAAGCTGTACAGAATACGCAATGTGGTCTTTAACTATGGAGAACACATGCATTCATTCAAGAGAGCAATTCCACTGACACCATAAGTAACTCATGAAACATTTGCAGGATCAGTGCAGGATTATGGACTGAGCCTCACAATTAAGATTCTGAGCTCGCAATTGCTTTCTCCCGAGCCATCCGCTGTGCCCCTGTGGATGTCACTGCAAGATCAAAGCCCATGAAGAAACAGGAACAACAATTTAAAAAAACCACAAAACATCCCTGCAAGGAGGCTGTGTAGAGTGACTCTTCACTGGTGTTTCCTATCTTAGAAAGCAAGACTTTCAGTGCACAGACATGCATACCTGCACAGCAGCCCCAGAACAAAGCAGAGCAATTTGCAAGGTCAGGATATCAGCACTGACATTGACCATAATATCATTAAAGGCAAGAATCCTGCCACTTACATAAAGCTAGCTTAAGTATAATTTACTAATATGCAAGTTAATCTTTCTAAGCAAAAATAGACCATGCACAGTAGGATTATATTAGCATTAATGTAAGATTAACTGGGCTCTAGAAATACTGAATTGAATCCTACTGTTTTGGCTTAAATTGACATACATAATGTGAATTTCACACTACAGAATTAACAAGTTTATGAACACCTTCAAGCTTAAAGCCTTTCAATTAAAACACACAAAAAAAGACAACAGGATAACAACTGTATTGGGTTACTGTTACACTGATAACTCCTCTCCACCTTACCTTAATGGCTTCTAATAACAAGGTATTTCTAGAAATGCATTAATCTTCAGGTAATTAAATATCATGAGCTAAAATGAAATTACCCTCTCCCCATCATAAAGCTGGTTACAACCAGTGTAACAGATATCTGTAACTGAAATTTTATAGTCAGCATATGAGTGAGGCTCAGTGGTGGTGGTGCACTAAACTCACCCTACCTGTGATTCTGGTAATTGCATTCATTTTTCAGAACAAGGGCTCAAGACAAGTATTTCAATTAATGTATTTTCACTACAATAAACAAAACACAGCACAATGACATAGAAATCTGATGAGTTAACCCTGAAATACAGCCTGTTTAAACATTTTGGCTGAAGAAAAAAAGCTTCATCCAAAACTGAAGGTAGGCATGTAACTATAAAAATGAGATACAGTTGCATATCTACCATCCCTTTACAGCTCTAGTATCAAATCAGCTTCATTTAATCCATAAGAAGTTCATCTATTTATCCTAAAGAGCTTTGAACCAAGTTCTGAATGCTACGTTGAACTTTCATTTTTCACCTAAAACTGAAACATTACAGATAATGCAAATATTTTCTTGCTCAATATAGCACCAAATAACGAAGTTCTGAACCCCAAAGCCTCTCTAATATTAACTTGAAGATTCCACTCTACACCACTGAAATCAATGGGATTTTTGCCAATGATTTCATATGGATGAAGACAACCAGCCTCTGCACTGATAGCCAAATCAATAATGACATCTAGATAAGTTTAAAATATTATAGTATATTAATCAAGTCTGAGAACCAAACAGGAAAATTTTGCCCATCTGTCTGTATTTTTAATAACCTTTTCTCACTACTAGATTAAAGTTGCAGATTAAGCACAAAATGCCATTCCACTTACATTCTATGTCATATACCTGTATTTTGTCACTACGTGCAAAACAGATCCTGTAATACTACTCTTCAGGCTTGGTGAAATTTTTTAAGAGCTTCCTTCTCACTTTTAATACCACATGCACAGCTATGAAATTACTATATAAACAAAGTGGGCCTGGCAATCAACTAGATTTCATTATGTCTGAGATGACGAACAAATCTTTCATACAACAAGTAATGTATTTGGCTGAATATATCATATGGTATTTGGTCAGTAACATTAACTATCCTGTTTTTTTCAGCATTGCACAAAAAAACTTCTGCATGTGGTAAGTGTAATGAGATTTTCTATTTGTACTGTACACTTAAGCTGCATATTAACACTGCTCCTTTAAAACCTCAACCTTTCCATGATGTCAGACTGCTTGAAAAAGTTTCCTACAAAATGGCATGTGCAACTTGTTAATTGATGATTGACAATGTTGTGCAATACCTTTACAAAAAAAGAGCTTCTATCTCTACTGGAGGATTTAGTATAGAAACGATACACTGTTACTCTACCTAGCTGTAAGAAAATCAGATCATGAATAATTAGAGTCAACAACAGTCTACAATGGTACCGACTGCTTCTCTGTGACCTAGAAAACAGTCTTGCTCTCCCATAGATTTCCATCAGTGCTGTAAAGTGAAGCACAGCAGCCCCATACAAGCCGATTTAATGAAACTAAAAATAGCAGCCCCATAAAAGCTGAACTAATGATACTAAAAATTACAAAAGTTCAAAAACTAAACTCTTTTCCTGCTAACAGTGAAATGCTGAGAACCAGAATTGAAGCATGCAGAAGAAAAGAGAAGGGAAACAGGGTTGGAAATAGGGAGTGTGTCAGGAATCCAACAGAGGACAGGAAAGAGCTCATTCCACCTGGCAGTGTCTTGAAAGGGCAACCAGAACAAGGGAAAAGAAGAAAAAAAAAAATTGACCCTTAAAGCTCCAATGCCTACATGTACTCACCAAGTGGAGGAAAGCCCCGAGCAGGGCTTGTATCTCGACTGCTCTCACGGCTGGTATCGCGGCTGCACCCCTGACTCATGCTGGGTCGGGGGATGCGACTGCTCCGTGCTAGCATGCAGCATGGAGAGTTTCAGAGAAGGTGAACAAGTTTAATGAGGACAGAAAGCTCAAAGTCAAGTCACATTTCTGTTAGTTATGGTAATTATTACATTAGGAATTATAATTTGCAGCAGCCTCCTCAGGCTCTTTACAGACCAACTACCTCACATGCTGAGCTGTGTTTGTGACGTGAAGTTTCAGCAGCATTAAATGTCTGTTTGACAGTCTGCTTTTTTCTTAAGCAGTTCAAGTTTTGTTATTCAAGTAGAGCAGGAATCTTCAATCATTTAGGGGAGTTCTACTTTTACAAAACATGCAAAACAGATGAGGCTAAAAGAAACCCTCTGGGAATATTTTTCCCTTAATTATAAGATAAACACCCTTCTGGAACAAAAAAAAAGCAGCGTTTTTAACCAGGTCAAAATTTTTGAAAGTAGTCACCATAGTAATATGCAATTTTATATAGATTTGTCTTTCACAAGGATAGTTTTGCCATGAACAAATATCCTAATGAAAAAAGGTGTATTGTACAGACTTGCAGAGACATTTTTCTCCAATAAAAAATACTGGGAAAAAGCATTTAGAACTTGAATACCTGAAAGACAGGTTAAAAAGTGGTTTGGATTTTAAGATAGCAGCAACTTCAGATCTTTAACAAAGCTGACTTCTCCTCAAACATTTCTAAAACCTTACATTTACAGTTTTATATGCACACAGATCGAGACATATGTGCACTTAAGGGGAGCTTTAAACTCTATTGTTGATGGAGGGTTTTGTCAAAGTAAACAAGACTCTTATCTTTGGTCTGGCAGCTATCAAGTGTTCAATCTCCCACAGACTAATAAGGCTCCTGCCTTTCAGCTGTGTCAAGGGAACTCATCATATGCACACTCTTCATTTGGCCAAATCCAAACTGAAGACTAAGCTGCTTTCATGTAAAAAGCAATCCCACTGCCTTTAGCTGAAGTTCTGTCCAAGTAGGAAAACAGAGCTAGGCCCTTAGAAGGTTGGTTAACACCAAGGATGTGAATTTCACGACTCTATAAAATGAGGATTTTACATATATCGAACTGGATTATTCCTCTGCAAATTGTGTCATTTTGATATGAAAGATGTTTGTAGAAAGTTATTTAAGAAGCTTTTTGCCCAGAAGAGAATACAATGTTTTCTTAGGTAAAGGAGGTTACCCTGAAGAATTTAATGACTAAAGAGGGATTTCCTTTGCTGTTTTGAAAAGGCAGTGGCACGGTTCAAGTGTTCAGAAATAGCCTTTAAGGAATTTTCTCATGCAGAGTAAAAACTAATCTAAGAGTTTTGATGACAATGGAGCAGAGGCACATACACTGCTTTATACTAATACTTTAACAGTATCCTCGCATTTATAAAAATAGTGCCATTTGTACACTTCAGCATATATATATTCTTATTAAGCTCTATTGGCTTGGATACAGAACTTACGTGGCTAAGCTCAAGCTAATAAAGTTCCCCTACAGTGCTTCTGTGGGCTCCTATACACTGGATCTATTAATATGCTTCAAGCAAAACAGTACAGAACAAAACAGAAACCTTAATATTTAGGCTTTAAAATTCAAATATAGACTGCTGCCAGATTCTTGGTTTGTCAAATCCTTCCCAGTTTTGCAAAACCAGGGTCATATCTCTCAGATGAATTAATGGTTCTGATGGTTGAACTCTGATGTCAGACAAAACAAGATGAGCTACTGACCAAGTTGATTAGATCACTGTAATGTCCAAAACTTCTGAGTTAGATGGTCTTATAATAAATAAGACAGGCTAAATAATATGAACTGGATGAGATTAGGGTCTATGAGTACAATAGTCCCACCTCAGATACACAAGGAAAAAAGCTGACAGGTGACTACAGGTGAAAGTAACACCCTAAAGTCTTCCACGCAAACACTTGTTTGAAATTGAGGACTCTCTAAAAGTAAACTTTTCATTCTTGGGTCTCATGCTTATATGTAAATAACGGTAGCCTTCACATCTGGTTTGCACAAGCAGTCATTTCTCTTAAGTAGAGAAGATCTGTCAATCTTTTCTATAATACAACCCTTCTAAAATTAGCAAAGGTTCTTTAGAGAGGGAGAGATATGAACAATTAAAAAAACCAATTTAATGGATGCACACAAAACATTCTCCTTCCATAACAGCTAACAGCAGCTGCATGAAGTATGAAGAAAAGGCACTTGAACCACATGAGAACAGACTAGTAGCACAGTGCCACAGATGAAGCACAATATTGACTGCACAAACAGAGCACCCAAACCCGAACACCGGGTACTTCACGAGTAACAGTCAAACAAAAGATCTGCTTTTGTATTTGTACCCAGTGACATGCAATGAAAAAAAGAATGGACTGAAAAGAACTGAATGATGAGTCTGTTGTGGACTCCCAGGCACCTGCCCCACGTTTTTACGGCAGATTGGATATCAGCTGTTCAGAGTATTGTCTCTGGGCACTGCCAGCAGTAAGGGGCAGCAGTGCTGCCATTTGGATGAGCCTCATGCAGGCAGCAAAGGCAGAGCAGACAGACACAAGTCCCAGTTTCAGAATTCTTGACCCCCAGACAGAAATTAGGTAAATGAGTAGCAAAACCGACTAAAAGGAGCAGGCAGGATGAAAGCAGACTGTGCCCACAGCTAGCTCTGGACTGAGAGCCCAGGAAAGGACAAAGGTGGGTTACTTATAAAGTCCCAACTTTCTAGATGTGTCCTATACATTTAAGTTTTACCAATTTCATCTGGAAAGGCAGAGCAGCTGGGTACAGTTCACACCATTATTAAAACACACTACTATGCTGTCTTACACCAGTGGGACCCAACAGATGAAAATACCACCAGCAGAACTCAACAGTGCCCCTGTTTACCAATCTACCATTTGGGAGAAACTGTATGTCATTAGGGTGTGATTTTTAATGATTCTTAAGTGGGGACTAAAAAAAAAAAAAAAAAAAAAAAAATCAGCAGACATTTCCTTTATGGAAATACAAGCATTTTAAAGAGCCTGTAAATGCTGCCAAAACAGCAAAAGGAAAGCTCTGCAGTTGGGTACACCCAGTAGAGGCAAGTCAAGAACTGCCTTCAGCTTTCCAACACACAGACAGCATAACCCTGACAAAAAAAGCGCTGTTGCATGAAAGGGATAACCAGCTGTGCCCACTCCACTTTCTGGAGAATGACAATCTCAAACCTCTCACTCCTTTCAGACCCAATTGCACCACACAATCTGCTGAGTATCCAACAATTAACTTCAAGCAAATAAAAGTTTCAATTTATGGGAAATGCACATCACCTTTTCTGAGATCTCCTTCAAGGGGCCCAAAGAAAAGCCTGAGATTAAGTCAACTATGATTTTCCTTCCCCAAAAGTGTATTACTGCTAGTAAATGTCCACTGAGCAGACAGCAAAGGCAAACTTAAAACTGAAAGGTGCCACAAAGCAGGGCCATATAAGCGACTACACAGGACCTCAACATGACAAAAGTGCCTTTTTGTGCTGCCTCGTGGGAAACGACATACTTCAAGGTTTCCAGCACCCAGAAAGAACATATGTAATGGATACCTGTGGTCATCATGGAAATCAAAGCTAGCAGCAAGAGCCTCTATTAGCTTGCCACTGCCCCAGAAGGGCCTGAAAAACTCCAGGGGATGGTTCCTGTATAAAGCTCACCCACATGCAGGGACCCACCACACAAGTCAACAAATCAGTTATGAGCAGGATCCAGGAACTACCCATTTCTAACAGCCCGATCTGCACAATGGTTCAACACCCACTGCACGGCAATGTCACCACAGAGCTGAGGTGTTTCAACCCCTGGGATAAGCACGTGTGTATGAAATCCCACAAAGCCTAAAGTACTGCATGTACATCTGATGTCATATGTATGCTCCAGCACCTTCCTAAATCAGATTCTGAAAAACTCTACTAACATACTTAGGACCAAGGTGAGTGGGAGTCTACTTAATTAAATGGACAAATGAAAAAAATGTCAAGAAAAGACAGGCAGTGAAGCAACACAATAAGAAAGCACAAAATACTGTTAGCTACTATGTTATAAAGTAATAAATATAATGGAATAATGGTATAAAGATGACAGCTCAAAAGCTGTCTCCATCCAAGCCAATATTACTTTTTTAAAGATCCAATGAAGACAGTTTCTACAGCTGAGTGCTAAAGGCACCGTAACTGCCAGACTTTCCCGCTCCCACATCAGCCTGAAAGGCTGGGGCCATCAACCCTGGGGGCGGCTGGAAGCCACACATCTGGTAGATCTGTCAGAGCTCTCTCCCACTCCCAAAGAACAGGCACTGACTGTGTTCACAGGGAGCACATCAGAGCAACAAGGTAACAAATTGCACTTTCAGAAGAATTCAAGGCTCCCATAATATACCTGAAAGCAGGCAACCCAAGAGTGAGGAATTTTACACATGGAAATTTCCCTTCAGATGCTCAAGACTGTTTCAAATCAGACCAGCTAATGTGATGATCAGCCTAAGTGTACATGATGGTACTATCAATCATTCCTTGTTTCCTCCAGAAACTGCAGAGTGACAGCAGAACAGTTACCTCTAATATTTGGGAGGCATTTTACATTTTAGAAGCGACCAACAGGAAAGTACAATGTACTCATACAGAGGCCATAGAATAGATCAGACATGAGAAGAACATGAATTTGGAAAAATAATCACAATAAACATGCAATATTTTTATGAACCATAACAGCATATGCACTCAGGTGATTTAAATTAATTCCAACACACTTGAAGAATGAATAAGATACCTCTCTATTAACAACACGCTCTAAAGAGAAAGGTAGCTTAAATTTAAAATACAACTGCTAAGGCAATAGTTAACAATTCAATTCACAACAGTAAGGATATTTCAATTAATTGCAACCTATTCATATATTCTTTGGAGGTATAAAATAATTTAGTAGCAGTACTATTTCAAGTGTTCTTGCTCTAAATAAGTTTCAAACCTCTGAAAACATTTCAATTTTAAAAAAGAAAACAATATTTACTTGTTCAGACAGCACACTGAATTTTCACCTCAATTCAGATACAGAAAAGTTTATATATAATGATGCTTACTCACCTGACTTAAAAAAGAGAGTCTGCTGATAAATTTGAAAATAAAAACTATTATACAACATTTACATAACAGTCACTAAGACAAGAATATGGGAAGCAGAGTAATTAAAGCATAAGTGTAAAATGCCAACTAAGAAAGTGGCTCCAAGATACTGAGGATGAGAGAAGCAAACCACTTAAGCTCCAAAACTTCTAAAATAATCCAAGAAGGTGCTCTTTGCCTTTGATTCTACCTGACTGTAAAAATTGCTCAACTCATTTCAGGACTAAGCCACTGATGCCAAATGAGGTATTTTTGCTGTGATGGTTATTCATGACAATTGGTTTTGCTGCCTAATCTAATAACGTCGCTCATGTTGAATTTCAAACAGAAGGCAGCTCATGACATCTTTAGGTCTACTTGGAAGCTATACCACAACCTGCAAAATTAAAATTTCTCTCCTACAAACCACAAACACATTAACTTGCCAGCTGAAAAACTCAGAAGAATAACAGTAACACAAACAGTTTCCTAGTCAATAGGGAAGTCCCTCTTTCGAGCACACCAGCCAGCATGTCACTGCAGTGACTGTTCTTACCTAGTCCTATTCTGTTGGGACTTGTCTCTCGACTGCATCCCTGGCTCCGAGGGATCTTGCTGCGCTTCTCTGAAGATGATGGCACCGGCTGGACTCTGGATGTTCCACTGCTCAGGCCACCATAGGCGCTTCCTAACAGCTTTCCCGGAGAACTAGACCGGCTACCAGCTAGAAAAGAACCAGAAATAAGGAAAAAAAAAAAAAAATTTAAAACCCCCCAAATTTTAAATACTCTGACAGCAAAACTGGAACACAATCAGCTCTAAGAATTTGATCCAAATCACTCAGAGAACTAAGGGGAGCGTTCCCCATGGGCTTTCGAAGAAGATTGGGGGAAGTCCTCAACACTGGCATCAGCAACCCTGCCTATATGAACCACGCTGCCCAGCTGGGATCAAGACCAAAGCAGACACTGCAGTGTATGAATATCCCAGCTGGCTTTACACAGGTTTGCGGAGGTGCCAGGAGCAGCTTTGCTGCAGCACCACGGAATTCACAGGCTGCTTCACCTCCCGATGAAGCAAGACAAAATGAGCCTGTGCTGCAGCAAGTTGGCTTCTGGCACAGGTAACCTGCTGCAAGGTAGCTTAAGCATCTTCACACTGCACTGCAGTGGCGGCATTACTTTTCCTGAAATAATTCAGTGAAGGAAAATTTTAAACATCTCAACAGCAGCAGATCAACATGATAAAGGGTAAAACAACTGAGCCTGTCACATTTGTAATGACGCTGGCTTACTTAGGTCTTACTGGTAAAACCTAAGCTATTTAGTTTCCAGATGGAGAAAATTTTTAGCAAATTGAGTAGTTGGCCTGTTTTGTTTTTCCTTCTCTGTTTGAATAGTCCATGGCAAGTTTACACTTCTTCTAAGCCATGTTCTAAGACAGTCTACTAACCAAAGTTTGTTTATATATTTACATTCCAGTTGCAGTAGATATTTCTAGCTGAAAGTCTTGCTGCCTAAGTCAATGAGCTGAATAATACTTTTTTTGCTGTGGATCTCCATTTGGTAAGTTTTTGAAAATTAAGTAATGCAAGCTTAAAGGTAATCACAAAGAACTGTGAGAGTAATAGATTCAAGACTCTTTTTTGCTTCTTCAGGCATATAACAGTCACTGAAAATTTGCTGCTGATATTCCCATTCCTGACATACAATTTGTTTGCTAAAACAGCCAGGAAAAGTGTATTTGAAAAGGTTGTAAGAACATACTCAGGCATGCTCACATTCTGAGCCAATAGTCATGTTGGTTTCTTTCTGAAAAGTATCTATGCATCTCACAAAAATTCTAGTTCCAGATACTATGCTGACTAGCAAGAGTTAAAGACTGTTCTTCTGTCTTAATTTAAGAAGATACGCAATTCTATTAATCTGATGGACAATAACACAACACACGTATTATTCTAACTTACTTGCCCCCTCCAATTTCCCGGCCAAGGCCAAAGCAATCAAATCATATAGTGAAATATTGTATGTGGTGCTGGCTCCTGCTTCCCCCACCCACCAAAATGAGAATACTTGCGACAGCTGCCAATCTCACACACAGCATCCACACCCTCAAAAGCCAATACTCGTCTCAGTTACACTGCTGCAATCTCACTGATGTCAGCAGGGTTGCACTGAAGTAACTGAAGAAGAATTAGCACCTGGGGTGTAAGATGCAGCAGTGAGCCAGCTTCAATATACAGAATGTATTCTTACCATCTTTGGTTACTATAAGAAAGCAAAATCACTTACCATGCACATTTGGATTTATGACTTTAAGAAAACGCTTTTTAAGTCTCATGGTTAGCAGAGAGTGAGGGAAGCTTAGCAGTTAAAAAACGTGAAGGAAATAATGTGAGAAAGCAAGAAAGGGAAAACGTTTCTTACCACCAGCAGGATTAGCTGATCTGGATCCTTGATTATGAGGGCAGACCAAAGGACAGGCAAAAAGTGGATTAAAAGACAGCAAGACAATACAGCGTTCAGCATGCAGTTTATGCTATACACAATACAGACAGATTTATTCACAAATACATCCCTCCTAAAGCCTCTGCACAATGCAGTGCGTTAACGTGCAGATGCAACTAACAATTTCCCAAGGATGATCAGCTTCTTAGCTAAATATAAACCAGAGACCCAAGTTCTGCTCTAAATTACACCCCAGCCCACTACGCAAAATTGCAGCAAGGTTATCCATTGTGTGGGCATGGAGAGCTTGGTCCTGTGACCATATTATATTTGAATTAATAAGTTATTTCATGCAATGTTTGGCTTAAGGATAAAGACCACATCTGGCTGGGCTAGGCTGGAATTGGGATTCAGCAAACTAAACCAAGGGATCGGGCTCAGATGTGACCATCCCAATGCTTCACAACCCATTCTGTAAAAAATTAAGACCATAATCTTTGAACACTTTTGCTACTCAACTATTCTTGAAACACTTCTGAGGCTTGTCTCATCTGCTCTGATCATTTTTCACCAAACTAAGTTTAGGAAAAAAGGTCATTTCTGGCTTTGGATCAGTTTCAGATTCAAAATTGAAGAAATCAATTTAGATCAGCATACCAAAGCCCAAATTCCTTCATGACCTCAATGTAAAGATTTCCATTTGGCCTCATCCTGAATATCATGCTTCTCTCTTCAGCTCTCCCAACCTAATATAAAGCTATAAACTGCTTCCCCATCCCTCCAGCACGACAAAGCAAAGCAATGAGAGCGTAAACAGAGAAGAGTTTTTAAATACAGGTGCAAAGCAAGACAGGTCCTCAGAACAAACATGTCTTTCCACAAACCCCATCTCCTCTTACCCACAAGCTTGAAGGTCCTCAAAAGTGGTTTTCTCCCTCCCCCCACCTTTTGAAGTTTGAGTGACAAAATTCTCCTTAGATACACATGACAAATATGCAACAGTGCTGTATGTGGCTCCTAGGGGAAACCATGCCTTGCCAGGAAGCCAGAGAGCACAGATGTATCATGTGAAACAAAGAGCAGAACTCTTCCCCACATCTACACAAAATGGATAAACTGATGCCAAATCACATTAACTTAGACAGCTCACACGTTACATATACAGAAATACAGCCACATAAGCAGGAGCAGCTTGGCAGGGCAAGAACCCAGGACAGCAGTCAGCTACAGACACAGAGGGTGTCTCAGCAAGACGCAGTGCAAGTTTAGTACTACACATCACTGCAACATGAAATTCTGCTGTGTAACTGGTTAAAAAAAGCAGCAAGGAAGCTCTCAGATGTGGAACCCTATTCGTCAGCAAAAGCACCCACCAGCTGAGTAGAGATTTCGTTTTATTACACATCCAAACGTTATTTGGCATAACTGAGCCCAATCCTCAGCAGATGCTACCACAATTCAAGAGAAATATATTAATAGCTATTTGTTCTCCTCCCCAAGAAATAAAACACTTCTTACGCTGGGACTGGGAAACTACTTTAGCCCGGCTGCGGCCGCGGGTATCAGCAGGCGTTGAGGTGACACTTGTGGCACTGCCCGAGCTCTGTCTCCTTGTACGAATCCGACCTGGAGGAATGCAAAGACAATCAGACTGTTAATACGTTTCTTTCAAAGGAAGCACAGTGTCTAACATGCTGTTCTATGCTTGCAGGGTTGCTATACACACAATTAACTTGGGTACAAAAGAAAATTTTACAGGGAGAGGCAACATCTTTCATTAGACTGGCTGAGAGGCAGGGAAGGGAGTGGAAACAGTCACAGTCCACAAGTCTGAAAACTTCTTTGCTTTCTGTAATGCTATCAGCCGGTTTAATTAAAAAAAATATTACCTCTCTGATAGCCTTTGCTTCTGTTCTATAGTAGCTTCTTTACAAAGGACCAACAACAAAAAATTCAGTCTCCTAAACGCTGCTGCTTATATCAAATAATTACTTTCTGAGAAGGCGATCAGCCTTTCGGAGACAGGCGTGACAGATGCCCCCACAAATTCCATTGCTGGGATTTCCAATTAGCAGCTTGGTGCTTTATATCCTGCTCTACATGTGCAGGCTGGCATGTACTCCTGCAAGAGCCTGTCAACGCAGCCTGACTCTGCTTTTATTTCAGGCTCATTGAATTTTCCCTGCTGTTTACAGATCCCTCATATTTATCCTGAGATCAGTGTAACTTTACTTGTAATGCAGAGTCCCATTTAACACAATCAACATTGTGGAAAAATGATTCTGTGTGTCTGTTCTTTATTTAAGCAGAGAATGGATATAAAGTCTCAAAGTGTTCTTGGTCCTTTTTCTGTCCTTTCCTCATGAAAAAGCCAAAGTAATTTGAGCTAGAAGAGCTTACAGGGTCATCAGTTCATCCCCTTCCTGGGGCAGGGCTGTTTCCTACAGAATGTTCTTTCCAGTGCTAAGCTTCAATTATCTGTCTCTAGTTAATGGGAAAGAAATGATAATTAAGAGCAACACAAAGAAAGCCTCCATCAGTACTTTTCAACAACTCAGTTCTCAGCCAAATCTGAACCAGTTTCTCAGGACTAATGCCAGTGCTATCCTGCATTCAGAGGATGATTTCAAGTTTCAGGCACAATAATAAAAGGAAAAAAAAACCCACAACAGGTAAGGGAAAAGTTCAGACAACTGCATACACTGGTTATAGATATTCATCTCCTGCCCTTTGTCTCCACCATAAGCATACAGAGAAATATGAACGGAGAGATATATACTTCCCACCCAAAAAAACTCACTTCACGTAAGGTACACACGCAGGACAAGACAATGGGAAATAGCCCAGGCTGAACAGACAGAGAGCTTTGTTCTTCTCTGAGCTCTCAAGATATTCATAACACGGTCTGCAAATTTCTGATAGACACAAAGTGACAAGGAGATGTTTAGCTTTGAGAAGAAAGCCTAGACTTGTTTGCAGGGAAAAGCCTAGGAGACAGCTGTACTTCACACCTCTTCACCAGCATCTAGTTTTAAAATAGCTCAGTAGGTGAGATACAGGTATCTGTATTCAAGCAAGTGTTTTAAAAGTGAAATAGAAGAAATTCTTAGCGCAAAACTGGGAAAATATAAGCAAACCACTTTCTTAACCACTGTCTCAACTGTTAGAACAAGCTTTGAGTACATCCATGTGGGTCCAACACTCATGAAACCAGCTGCTAAGCTCCTCCTACCACCAGCACGCTGCAGATCTCTTCTGCCCTAGGACATTATCTGCCCCTCACAAATGGCCAGCCCGATACGCAAGCAGAGACAGTTCTGCAGCTCTCTGCTGGCCCATTCCCATTCCTTGCAAGTCTGGCACGTGTGCAGCTACACACAAAGGAGCAAAGTCACTGTGGATTTGCCCCAAGGTGCATACCTCAAACCACACTGCAGCCTTCAAAGCAGGCGAGCATGGGGAGGGAGGCGGAAGGACCTCAGGCTCTTGGCAGAAGCCTCAAGGCTTCCTTTTGTTTCTCACATCAGGAGGGCATCACTGGCAGCAGCAGGGGTACAAAACAGCCAGAGGAGTCAAACCTGACCAGCCTTAGGAACCAGTAATGGAATTAACATAGATCCTTCCAGAAGACCAACAGAAAGCCTTGGCATTACAGAAAGTCTTGGGGGGTAACTCAAGCTGAAATTTAATATTATACACAGAAACAGACAGTTCTGGTGATGTGTATGGGCCAAGAATGGGTGAGAAGGGACTGATGTCTCCTCCTCTTACGCACAGGACACTCTTGGCATCCTCAAAATGTTCTGTTCTTTCTGAATCTACACAATCTTTTTTTTTTTTTAGTTTATCAGCAGGTGACTAGGAAAGAGGAGAAAACTGGGACACTACGTAATAAGTGACTCTCCCACCTTAGAAAATACAAATGCTAAAATAATAAAGAGAAACCAAAATTAGTTTCTGATACCAATTCTGGGGGCTTTAGGAAAGAAAACTGAACCAATAGGTCAGACTTAATTAATATGTGATTATCAGCAGGATTAGAGACCTCAGTCCTATTTTGAAACCCCTGAGAGTCAGTGGACAGACTCCTACCAACTTCAGTAGTTTCTGAATGAATGCATGCCCAGGAACAAAATCCTGCTTCTTTTTGGACTGGTAAGATTTGCACACTGATTTTGGCCTAACGGGTGTCAGAGAGAACAATGTGGGATGAAAAGTTGCTCTTGCACAGGAGAAACAGACCCAACACTGATACTGGTTGTCTCATCCCTCTAAAAAGACTGACGAGCATTTGAACCAACACTGCACCAGACTTGCATTGTGCAAATGACAACAGGAATGGCAGAAACTAGAAATTCATGACATAAAAATGATGCAATGGTACAAATACTGTGATAGCACAGTAACAGCTCACCCTAGGAGTACTCGATTTTTTTAAAGTCCATGAGATAAAGTAAAACGTTAGGGAAAAAATGCTTCTCAAAGTAAAATTCTTCACACAGTTACAAGGAAAAAGTGCCATCTGGTATCTGTTATATGTATACTTGAAGCATGAATTGTTAATATACTTTCCAAAGTTTTATTTTCTGAACTCTAATAACTGTATATTTATTTTTTTCATACAAGTAACTAATCTTTCTTGCAGGATACAAATGGTTCAAAATAAGTGGCTCAAGGCTACTCTTCAAGAAAAAAGATTTTAAGTTTTTCCTATCCAAGTATAGTTTGTAGCTGTAAAACAAAAAATGACCAATTGGAATTCAAAATTGCTTTAGGCAAATCTGTATTAGATAGAAAACTGAGGGATCTAGGATGTGTCATTTGTTAACTGATCTTCACAGACATTCACAGCTTTTAAATTAGTCTTATGATATCTGATGCTTTGATATCTTATGCTTTATAGTAATGTAAGATGAATCAATATTTGTCTGTCTGGAAAATATCAAGGTTTTTAATATATATTATACCAAGTACCGCATGTATAACAGAAGTTCGTCTATACAATACAAATATCCCCACTACATCTCCTTAAGGATTTAATCTACAAACAAAAGTCTGTTTTCTTATCTAAGACTTATTTGCACATAGGACTATGTGTGGCTTTATCCCTACCATTCTACCCACAGAGAAAAACTAATTTCAGGCAAGACTGTAAATAACATAACAAATAACTTATTCAGACTACTTTGTTGTTAAACTCAAGCAAACACCTCCCCTCCCCAAAACTTCTTTGCTTTCAAGTGTGTTTGTTTGCATGTCTAGCTCAAACTGCAGATGTAGCAATTCATATTTCATAACCATTATTTTTTTGCTCCTCTTAAAAGAATTACTGCATCCTGACAACAACAGCACAAAGGAACAGATAAAGACTGCCCCAACTAGTTTCCAAAAACCATAGAAGTATTTCCATAAAAAAGCCCTTGATCTGAATTTGACATGTGACACATTGGTGTTGGTAGAGAAAGTATTTTGAAAGACTCCATATAAATGCTTTGTGTTAAGAAACCATTTGTGGGTTTTTTTAGGGATGTTTCGGTTTAGTTTTTAAAGTTATTGTCAGTTTTTACAACAATCAATGGATCAGGATCGACCTTGAAACGTCTAACATCTGTCTAAACCTAGGAAAGTTGGTTTGTTTTGTTTTTAAAAAAGGAACAAGCAAAGGAAGATTCTATGATAATGTTTTTGCATTACGGGAGGCTTCATCCAGCAGCATCATTCTGAGCTCCTCTGGGAGGATACTGCAGCATCTCCGTCCCCAGCACTCAGAACAGACATAGGCTTTGTGACACCCTGCCTGCATATTACACTGTAGAAAATGACTTTCAAATAGTCTAGAAGTGGTGTAATGTAACAGCTCCACAACTGAGTTTAATCAGTTCCATGCTGTGAATAATGACACCTACAACCACACAAGTTACATCAGGAAGCACTGTGATGGTAATTGTCTCTCCATGGATCAGGTTAATGCATTCAGGTTACTCAGCACTGGGTTCTTCCCCTGCTTGGGGAAAACCATTCCTGAAAGAGCCTCTAGGACCCCTCTAGCTGTGTTACTGCTAAATGACACACGGACATCTGTGAGACATGCACACATCAATTAAAAACATGCTTTATGTATAAATCTGTAAACAGCTTTTTACAACGACCATTGGAATGGTTTCCATGCATATTTAGCACATGTCCAACATTATACTAGTGTAAGACCTGACTTTGCACCATAATTTTTCCCAAGAATCACTTGACCCTTACTGGAAACCATCAGAATATGCTGCCTTGGGGTTTTATACAAAAACTCCCTCCAAATCAGAGGGTTGAAGGGACAACAGCAGCACCACTTTGCCCTACACCAACAAGCACAGCCAAATCAAGTCAGCATTTGCAAAGGGAGGCACCAAGAGAACAAAGAAACCTACTGCCTGAGCATTTCCATTTAAGATACCACAGTCAGTCACACCTTTGAATCAAGCCTTGCCCTTGAGGACAGGCAAGAGCTTTACCGCAGAAAAGAT